CACACAAAAAAAAAAAAAAAAAAAAAAACATTATCAAGCAATAAGAGGATATGAACAAGTGGCAGGCTGCTATGAAAGATATTTTTATCAGAGGATGAGACATGCTCTCTGAACAAAGTACCAGAAGGAAGAGAAAGCCTTTGCAAATAAATGAGTTTATAAAGTGACAATCATGCAAATGAAAACATTGATAAGTTCAAAGCTCGTCTTTTGACAAAAGATTTTTTTCCCAAGAGGAAGGTATTCATTACTAAGAAACATTTACCCCTAAATTTTTGAAGCCACACTTTCTGTAGTAAGAGTTGTTGCAAATAAAGCATTAGACTTGTCACAAGTTGATGTCAAATCTATATTTCTTCATAGGGCATTCAATGAAGAAATTTATATGCAACAAACAGAAGGCTATGATTACAAGTCAGGCTGAGTATGTCACTTGATCAAAAATTTCTGTGGATCAAAGTAATCACCCTGATATCAGAATAACAGATTTAAGAAATTTCTAGAACTGTAGCCCGTTCAGTAAGGGCATGCCATATGTGCATCAGCAGCAAACATTACCTCACGGCCCGGTGTGTCATATTTGAATCGCCATTTAATTCACTCTACCGGCTGGGAGTACCACATTTGACTTTTTAGATAGAATGTTTAACTAATATTTTTTCTTGACAGTAGATGTAGCTGTATGCCTGTTATGGGGAAATATATCGAAAGTTAAGTATGTTTACCTTCATTCCTATGCAATGATTTTTATTTTTTGTATTTTGTTTTGGAATGAGAGTGAGATTCGTGGATGGGTGTTGAGCAATGTAATGTCTCTTTAACTGCGTCATTTGATATAAACAAATGCACGTGCTCTCGCTGCATTGAGGTACTTTTTATTTTTATTTTTGCGATATAGTGGGACAGACGTTCTATCATTTTTATTACTCTTATATTCTTTCCTCTTTTTTTATTACTTTTAGATTTTTCGTGCTTTGAGAGGAATATTTTTAATCCTCAGCGAAATGTATCTTTTTTAAATGGCAAACAAAAGCAGTATCTAAATGTAGAATATACACAATCGCTAATTCGTTAGTGTTGAGTAATGTAATGGCTCTTACTGCGTCATTTTATATAAACAAATTAAACAAATGAACATGTTCTCGATGCTCTGGAATACTTTTAATTTAATTTTTCTTATTTTTATTTTATTTTTTTAACGGTTATAGTGGAGTACATGTTCTATCATTAGAGACATTTTTATTACTCTTTGAGTTTTCCGGCATTGAGACGAATATTTTGTATCGCTTAGCCAAAGTTTTTTTTTTTTTTTTTTTTTTTTTTTTAAATGGCAAAACGAAAGCACTATCTGACCATAGAATATATACAAATGCTAAATGAGTCAAATTTGCTGAGTAAAGTAGCAGCATATATTATATTCCTGTTACTAATGAAACATTGGACTTTGCGTACACCCATGTTTCAAAGAATATCATACACTGTCTCATTTTGAAAAATTGCTTACTTTTCGTTGTTTGCTCGTTGAATTATTATGAAAGACAGTTTTAATATTTTAAAATTTTAATTGTGTGTTGTGTTAAATAAAATCTGCGATTGTTTGGATATTTTTCCCTATATATTTATTTTTGGGATAAGGGTAAAATTATATTATTCTAGAATGAGTATTTTATAAAATTTTTAAGGAAAATATAATAATAAAGGCATAAAATTAATTCAGACAACTATCTGAATGTTCTTCTCATAATGTACCAAAAATTGGAAAAATTGGATGACAAATATCATTTATACGAATTTTTTTGCAAAGTTAGGCTTAGCAGCGTAAATTGCCCATCCCAACAGGACGACGCATGCTGTTAATGCACCGTCCCAAGACAACGCTTCGTAACAGAGGGGCCCGTCATGAACAGGTTAAGGAGAGCAAGGCTGACCATGCTTATTTTACACTCATGATAAACAACAGAAATTACATTTAGCATTATATGTTAACGACAGACTTTCTGCTTATACTCTAGAAATTATAGATTATTTTCTATAGAAATTTCTGCATGAATGAATGCAAAACAGTACAAAACACAGTACTTCTTTGGCTTAGAAATAAAAAGGCTGAAAATCTTCATACTCAGCAAAATTACACTAATACGATATCGCAGAAATTTCATTAATGCTAATCCTGTCGATATGCAGAAAAGAGACATATTATTAAAGATGCTGAAATGACTATTACATAAAATGTTCTTAACAAACAAAGCTGTTGGCAGTTTGGTGTAAATAGCTACTGCTGTTTGGCTTGACATTTGTCTTGCTCTATCTTTCTGCTTTTCAGCTTTGGATAAAGCTGATTGGAAGCTTGGCCAGTGGTTAAATTTTTAGCTAAATTAGGGGACAACTGATTTTGAAATTTTCTTCAAATATAAATTTCAGCCAAGAAATCTGGAAGTATATTCTGCTTCTGATTATTTTAGTGATCCAAAAACTAGAAAGTAAGTATCTAGAATTGTGTTTAAATATGCAGTAGGAGTAATAGGTTGGACATGTTGTCGACAGCACTGTGCAAGTTCCCATGAGGCAGAATCTGTTGCAGCTTGCAAGGTGTCTAACGATACTGCTTAGCTGAAATAGTTATTTGTGGACAATATTCCATTGAATAATATTCACACACTTAAGTTGATAATGCTAGTGCTGTTCGGTTGTCCAAGAATAAAAAAATTCACAAGCGAACAAAGCACAATGATATCAAATATCACTTTGTTCATGAAAAATCTCTTAAATGGTGATCTTAATACTGTATATATAGCTAGTGAAAACATGTCTGCATACATTTTCACAATGACTCAAGAAACATTTCCAAGAAATAAGAACAACTACTGGTGTAGCTATTACAGAATTGGAAGGTAAAGGAGAAACTAAAATTGTGAACTTCAAGTTCTATCATTTCACACCACCTTTATTTTCTTGAACTGAATTTATACTTTTTTGTGTAACTGCTCGGTTTTTGTGGCAATAGTTTAACTGTAATTATCATAATGTAAGTAAGCGTACATACCCTGCTTGTGATTCATTAATCATTTGCCAAAGTTCTGTAGTTTAAAATGCTTTTATTTAAGTACTTAATTCCTCATCTAGTTAATATCTACTATCAATTTGTTGAAGAAAAACTAACAAAGAACTGTGCAGGATTGCATTACATTGCAATGGTTCAATTTAATGAACTAAACAAATTGTTTAGGTGGAAATGACCAGCATCCATACGGTACATTTTAACCATACTCATGCTATCTGAGCCGATCCTAGTACTGTCACAAGAAAATAATGGCAGAATGTTGTTCATCATCACATTTATTCATGTTTTTCTCACTGCTGATGAGAAGTGAGAAATGAAGTTTTCCAGCATATGTGTACTAATACCCATTAATTTTTACTACAGATCTGTGCGTATTTTATGATAATAAGCAACATGGCTCATATCTATGCCTACTTAACCTTTTGAGGTTCAGCGCATAAAAAAAATTATTTTTGGAAAAAATAACTGTACATGCATATAATTAGCCCCAAATACAATGCTATTTCATGCAAAAAAAAAAAAAAGTAAACCTTCAAGGCAATTTATGACGTGGTGGGATACCGCATGTTCCACCGTGCATCTTGAGCAATAGAATGGCATCTTTGCCCGAGTGTAAATTCTACTAACATGCTTACATAAAATGCTAATTTTAGCTACAAAATGAAAATATAAAATATAAAAAAGTTTTTGAATAATTATCTAGAAAATATTGATCATATTCGCAAAATAAATTTTCTTTTGTTTTAAATTATACAATTTTAAAAAAAATTGCTCCCTGTACGACTTTTTAGATTTTCTTTAATGATTTAATAATAGATTTGAAACAGAGGAGATTTTCGCTCCAGTACTTATTTGCTACAAGTTTGAAAAGGAGGATATTTAGAAGGCCGTCATGTTTATCTACATTTCACCTCTCCTCTGCTCAGGATATTTTTTTATGGTGAGTCACACTCACATATCCATTCAGTATTCAATGACATTTCATGTTACAGGGTTATATTTTCATTTCTTTCGGTAAAATACTAAATATTTTTCAAGTTTTAACATTGGTTATTTTTAACATTATTGCAATTTATTTAAAAATATAAATTTGCATTATCTATCTATATGAAATGAGTACAATACTTGAATTAATATTTTGAATGGTGCTGCCATCTATAGTGGCATTTTCTATACGCGCGGTGGGATGCATTTGTCCCATCTTTTAATTTCAACCATTTTTAATTAATATATATGAATTCAAATAATACCTTTATTAGAAAAGGAAACTTTCAGATAAAATATTTATTCTAATGACAAAAGTTGTTGTTCAGACAATTTAAATTGTATAAGAAATTAAGGGAAAAAAAAAAAAAAAAAATTCTTAAAAATTAGACCTGCAAATAATTTTTTTTGTACATTATTTCCATAAATGAATGCTAGTGCTGCCATCTGATATACATTTAGAAAACTAAAAGACGTAATTGTATGTATTTTAAATCGAATTTTGCAGCTTTCATCTCTGAGATAACTGAATCACCCATCAAAGGGTTAATGCACCTACAACACACATAACTAAAAAAAAAAAAAACCTTTCCTATAAAGTTTAGATGCCATAATCTGTTTCCTATTTTTTATTAAATTGCTACATCCAAAAAATTTTTCAGTATATACTTACTGAAAAAATTCATGCATAAATTAAACTGCATGACAAAAGTCTGTTGTCACCATTCAGACTGTACACACCATTTCAGACTAAAACAGAAAATACCTTTGCTCTAGCTTTTAACTAATTACATAGATATTTCAGTTGTAGAATTCACATATAAATAAATCTCTGCAACAGCAGCTACCTTTTTATAATGATATTACTTTTGAAATTAAATCCCATATTTCCATTTAAGACAACGAAAATAATGGCTTTAGATCCAAGACAGAAAAAAAGCAAGGAACAACTTAATTTCATTATTTAAAATTTGATATTTCCATTTAATACAGTTATTTTTGGTACAAAATTAATTATTTCAGCAATTAAAAAATTTACATTAATATCGAGTTAATGACAAAATACTGATTTAGCACCTTTCTATGCTCAACAACATTTTCAGTAAAACATTTTACATCATTAAATAAAGACAGAATAGAAAAGTCACTAAAACAGAGTTCAAAATATTAAATACAAATTTCATGTACAAACAAGCTGGGAATGTTAAAAAATATATAACTTAGATAAACAAAATAAATTATGTACTAAATAATCTTTATTAATAAAATGACAATAAATAAGGATAAGTGGATAATTTGAAGAACATTTTTATCTTTGGCTTCTTGCACATAGAAATGCATCTAAGAACTCATTCCTTTTCTTGAAGTTTGAAAACTTTAAATACAAAAATACACCAGATTCAAATTCCAGAAATAGCCAAGACCCACATTTGTACAAAATTTCAAAATGTTTATTTTCTACCGGTGATTCATACTGTACATTTGATTCTTCAGTGGAATTGAAATCACTGTTACATTCAAGATCTGATTCATAATCAACATCCTTCAGGTGAATTTGCTTTATGTTTGTTTGCACATTAACAACAGCACATACATGAAACTGTGGTTGTGCAGTTACATCTAACCCAATAACCTGAGGAATATGAAGTCGCTCTTCAACTAGAAGAATATGAGACAAAGTAACAAATACATAATGTAGAATGCCATAATGAGATTTATGCAGTGTTTTAGATAACAGTATACGCTGGCCAAATATTATTTGATTCTGCACAGTCATATTAGAAAGAGGGAAAGCTGTATGTATGTTCTCAAAAGCTATCACTTTATTAGCAAACGGATTTGGTTTATACACAGGTGTTAAGTTGAATAACCTTTTACAGTTTGCAATAAATAATGCTGCTGTTTCTTCATTTGTCATCAAAAATATGAGATTTTGAGAACTACTAGACTCATTCAGTTTTAACTCAATATATGCACTGCATGGGCCAATTGCAACTGATGAAACATGACTCGGTAAAACAGATCTCAAATATGAGATATCTGGAGAACATTCATTATCAAGCCCTTTTTTGGGAAGTTTTGCATTCTTCTGAAAACTTTTTAATTTCAGTAACAACATCTCCTTATCACATAATAGCACACAAACAGGAATTTCATAGACAGAGCTCTCTTGATAAAGAATACCAACTACCCATAAAATATCAGTTTCTGGGAACATGAAAGACTTCGAAGTTGCTTCAGCAACAGCACCTTTAATACCTTCAAACAGATCAGGTCTATCCTTCTGTAGAATACTCATTAAAATTGAATTGAACTTTTCATTGCTAGAATCTGAAAGCCACCATTCTGGATAACATAGCTCAGCACTAACTGCATACTGCATTATCGTATGAGGTTCTAATTCACTGAAGCTTTTGTTGCGAATATGGACAATATGAAGTTGCATGTCTTTGGAAACAGAATAATTACCACTTACACTACTTTCTGGGATATCCTTAGTTGAATCCTAAAAGAAAGTAAAATGTGAATCAAATGATACAATATGATGCCTATATTCCAAATAATTATATATTTATTTTAGATATACATTTAGATATATTTGTGTGCATGTGAAAAGAATTAAAAATGAAATATTCTGCATTATAAATAAAAAACACATCAACATAATCTGAGCATAAATATGTTTCTATCATTTATGAAACAAGCCCTCAAGCGACAGATTGGTAAAGTTGCTGAATGTCGAAAGTTCGATCCGGGATAGCAAACATGGTGGCTGCATGGGCATTTCCATAGATTTTCCCTGTTTTACGTGTATATGAGGTAGTTTCCCTTAGAATGTCCTCCACGAAGGCAACCCTTAGACAGAAGTTAAGTGCTTTGCCATGATCAAATAAACCTAAACCATTTATGAAACTAAAGAAACATACGACTGGCTCCTTAGGTACTACACAAATTTTTGAAATCGAAAAATTGCTCTAAAAATAGTCATTATCATTAATGTATCCACTTTCTTTAGCCAGTATCAGGCAGTCAGAAATGACTGCACGCATCACCCTAACAAATATTTTTAAGCAGATCATTTGACACTTATAACAAAAAATTTGATATGAACACCATATGATTTCTTCATATGGCCTATTAAAATACACATTTTTTGCTGCCTTCATTTAAACTTATTTCCTCAAATTATTCTAACTTAATTGATCTCTCAAGGTCAGTTGAAAATAACATAAAAAAATTGCAAATTTTGAAATTGAATATTACAGTCAATTTTTGTCATATGGGAGTCAAACTTCTTGTAATTTTATTTCTTCATAACAAGTATAAAACTTTTCGAAAAATGAGTATAAAACCAGCAGACTGCATTAAAAATTAGATTTTGTTACTTGTCGAAAATTAATTAATATTATTTTTGTTTAAATCTGACATTGCCAAAACCTGTACATTTTCATCATTTAAAACAGTTCTGTAACTGGAAGTATATGAAGTTCTGTAACTGGAAGAATAAATATTTCAACAATAAAAATAAAGTATGTAATTATGCATATTCACCTTCTAAATATTGTTTAAATTTAGCTCTTTGTTAACAGATCAAAAAAGCTGCACCACTCAGAGGTTTAAATAAATCCTAATTTCATTCTATCCTCTGTATTAAATTAATCTTCAGTACTTGAAATTTTGTTGATTGTTGACGGGTATAAAACATATAATTTGTTTGATAGCAAAACTAATGAATAAAATTTAAATGACATCACTTTTTAAACTGTTTTATTTTTATTATAACAAATATGTTATGAACAGAATTTTAAAAATAAATTAGAAACAGCTACTGAGATATAAACCTTCTTAGTGACTGGAAATTCATGATTACCAATTAAGCCAATAAATCATTTGTCTCATCATCTTTTAAGTTAAACAAACAAGATGGTTTTCCTTTACTGATAAAGTAATATCAGTATTATCAAAATAACTTGATACCACAAAATAATCACTTTTTAAAATTGTTTATTCGGTAGTTGCAAATGAAACAGCACTGAATGAAGTCAGGTTTCTATCAGTTGGCAGAGAAAGCAAGTGCTGAGGTTTATGTAAATTGTTTACGTTATGTAAAAACATCCCATGTGGGTGATGCAATATATTTGTTTTGTTCAAGGAACATTTAACACTGAATATGGCCAACATCAAGTCAGTCATAGAATCCAATCAATTAAGGCTGCTGTAACCTTACATACACAAATTGGAAAATTGTGCAGTGGCTCAGTTGAAAACATCAATACAGCATTCAGCACATGGAAAACTAAGAGTTGTTGTTTCAACTGTTAGTTTGAAAATTATATTTAAAGTCACAGAATGACAACTCAATGTTGGTTTGAAAATTATAAAGTCACAGAATGAAACCATAGCCATAACCATTCCTCAATTGATTCACAAGCATTATAGGATTTAATCAAATAGGATCCATGACAAACTATAACCGGAGATCATCTAGATACTAAGTGTACACTTTTTTACTATTTCAAAGCACTTGATAATAATAGGAAAACTAATAAATATGAAGAATGACCTCGCAAACTCAATGATGAAAACCACATGCAACATTGGGAAGTGTACACTCTAAAGAAGTTTCTTTAAATCTCTAAAGATGTAAAGAAACTTCGTTCCTGCAATGAATTTCGACTGTGGATGAGAAGTGAATATTCTAGAACAATTCTAAACATTTATCAAAGTGGTTGGGAGTGAAATATGCCCCAGGAAAGATTTTAAAAGCCCCTTTGCATCCAAAAAAGATGCTGCTTACTGTATGGTGGTCTTCAGCTGATGTTATTTGTTACTCATTCCTTTCACAAGATGAAACGATAAATGCAGCTCAATACTGCATATATATATATATATATATATATAGAAAATACACAAGAATTATGATTTAAGTGACCAGCAATTGTGAACAGATATGGAGTCACTGCTTCAAAATAATGCCCAATCACATGCAGCAGGATCCAATCATACAACAAATCAACAATATGAATAATGAAATTGCTTTTCTTTCTTACACTCTCCTGACATTTCCCTGACAGATTACAATTTTCCATTTGAACCACTTTTTGTCCAAAAAATTGTTTGTTAATGATGTATCAATTTACAGCATAAAGAGGACTTCACCACATCTAGACACTGACAATACAAGAGATTGATTTGATCACATATTCTCCTTATTCGATCATTCTTACAAGCGGCCATATCATTTGCAACAATCTAATACACATTTATCAAAAACAAGTACATCACCACTTCTTGTTTGAAAGAATTCTCTTTTAATTACAGCTTCTGCAGTAGATTTATTTGATCTGATCAGCCAAGGAAATGACTATCGTACATTCTTTAATATAACACACACTTTTGATACAAAAAATAAGATAGAAATTTATGGGAATGCATTGTACTCTGCATATAAAAAAGATAGATTTAAAAATAAGTATATAAAACTTGGATTTCTACATGCAGCTAAATGCAGTTTATTTAAAAGAAATGAAATAACTTATGAACTTAAAATTTTCCTCATCGGATCATATGAAAAGTTAGTCATATTCATCTTCTATTACATCTTCAGGCACATCATCAAATTCTGTTTCACCTTCATCATCACTGTTGCTCTGATCCATAAATAAATAATCATGTTCCGTTCCATCTAGATTGTTTGATATATTATATTTTTAATGACTTTCAAATTACATTGGGTTTAATTTGATTCCATGCTTTTGCTATCCCCTCGCACACTATTTCTAGACTCGTATGATGCATTTGACCTCCTTTTGTAAATATTTACCCTCTAACATATACGTATTTCGCTGTTATTTGGAATTTCCTTTGAATGTTTTATTGATACATACCTCTAAAGGTTGAACTAATGGGATTAATCCACCGAAACACCCCAGGCAGCCCTTTATTCAAACGAACACAACCACCTGGAATGCCCGAGACTATGATCTTGTTTTCTTCCCTCCTCCTAAGATATGAAGTAGCAGGTTCAGTTTCCCCAAATGCACTGTATCAGTTTATTGCAGACACAGACAGCTTGTCCTAAAAGGATTTATTTAAGGTTTCTTTAGGTTGCATGTGCAGTCTGCAGAATAGATTTATAAAGTATGAGGTCAAGGGGGTAATGGAATCTTTGTTAGAAAGTAGAAGGGTAAGCCTTCACACTTATTTGTGCATATTAATGCAGGAGGGAGGGGAGGAAATTGCTGTGAAACTAGAAAAGTATTTAGGGTGGTTCAATATATTAAGCACATACGTTAGCAAAGGCTTCAGTTTTTCAGAGTTAAGGCAACAGGATGCTTTTGCCAAACATTTCTTATCTACAATTTCACACCATTTTCGTCCATCTTTTTTTGTGAACTTTTTTCGTGTCTGCAATAAACAAAGACACCATTTGGAAAATTACATTTTGACAATGTTTTTCTTTAAAAATAACCACGGATTTTAATTTTGTATCATCTGCTAAGCAGGACAGAATTATTGTAAGGTGAGATTTTTGTGACCTGTTTTTGTTCTTTTCACATCAATTGTTTTATTTCCTTTCATATCAAATATTACTGGAGTTTCATCCATATTTCCAATATATGAGATTTTTGCCTTTGTACACCAATAACATATTTCTAGAAACTTACCAGTTTGTTGCCCACATCTTTCAGAGGCCTTTGTTTTCCCCTGTAGAACTAAATTATTCTGTGACCTAAATTACACCAACTCAGTTGCATTAAAGTTTTCACTTTCATTTGCATTTGTTTTTGCCTGCCTTAAGGTAAATAAACATATGCAGTTTCTTTAAAAACTTATCTGTTTTGATTTCTAGGATCAGTTTGCAACACTTTCTTCAAGGATAGGCCATCTTATTAATCCTTTATGGAAAGCACATTTATTATTTGGCATATTAATTACTGTAATTTCATTTTTCTTCCAGTCACACATAGAGCTTTTGCCAACACCAAATACTTTTCCTGCAGCACAATTTCCATTTTCTTTGCCAAATTCAAGGATTTTGCATTTCAAACCAGTACTGTCTTTCTTTTGTTTCACAGAAGCTATACTTACTATTAAAAGGAATACCAGATTAACTGTATTTCAATTAAAGCAAATGCAATTGACTAAAGATGTTTCCTTTAAAATCATGGCTTCAAATACAAGAAGTGATTTGTAATAATAACACAATTAGAATGATAATTCTTTTCACAATGATTTTTTTTTATCAATAACTGGCAATCAAAAGTTTCTGAATTTGCAGGATCAGTAATCAGGCTATTTTTTAGGCTAATAAAATATTCGAAACTGAAACACAAACATAAAAGCTAACGTTTCAAAATGTAAAAGTAAATATACCAAAATTAGTAGCACCAGATTAGAGGCTGAAATCAGAGGATTTTTCGGATGGCATTTTAATACTTCCAAGAAACTAGCTTTTGCAAACAATTTCATAACTGAATGCAATAATTAATATTTCACATACCTGAGAGGTTGAACTACGAATCTCATTTAATAAGCGCAACCAGTCACTTCCACCAATTCTTCTTAATGTTTCTACTTGATGGCGAAACTTGGATACATCACTTACACTTTTTGTGTGCTTACCTAAAACATATTATTTGAAAAATTTTTAATACAAAAGAAACGGAATCGAACATAAAGAGAATTACAGATACCATATAAAAATTGGACATTGTCATAAAACTAGGTTAAATCGTATTTTAATTTAAAAAGGCATGACGCAGAAATCTAGGTGTTATCTGATCTAAAACTAAATCGGATAATAGCAAAAAGTAAAGCTGTAAATGCATAAAAGCAAATTATATCAAGAACTGAAGCTGGCTGATGAATGAAATGAAAAAGGCATAAGATATGCAAAACATTGATTTTTTAAATGATATTAATGGGCCAAAAGGTTACATTTAGTGCTGCTTGAATTAAGAACAACTGATTTATTGTACCGATGAGCTTTAAGTATATGTGAGAATTTATTTATTCGGGACTCAGATAAGCTTTAAGCACATGCAGAAAATATACATAAGGATAACAAATAACTCAATTAATGTAATTCTGGCCTAACTTCCTCGATGCAATAGAAAAATTCAGCAAAAAGTCCATCTCCAGTCACCAATCTCATGATACCTCGCCAATAGTGTATAGTGACTGCTAGCTAAGCTTTATGATAATAGCCATGGATTTGGAGGCTTTCAGATATTGCAAACAAAAGGCAAATGTTCCAATTAATGGAATTTGTGAAGAAATGTGGAAACATGCTAATAAATGATGATGATATAGTAAAGTTTTCCATTGCGATGACAATGCCCCAATCATCAATCAACTAACGAATGGCAAAACCTGTAATATGGTTAGAAAGTGACAGAAAGGTTGCTAATAAAAAAATTGATTGACAGTTTAATGGGAATTATCAACATACCAATCACAGGATCTTTAACAGTGCATTTTTGTACAAGAGGGCAGTACAAGAAGCATGACTTAGAATAAAAACTGTGTACTCCAATAGAGATGACTTTAGTGTCAAAACAATACACTAGCTTCACACAATTTTTAGCCCACTTTGATAAGCCAATAGCAACAAGTATAATAATGAAACTAAATACATATTATGGCTTGCTAAGAAAGCTATGCTTAAAAAAACTAAAGAAATTAAAAAAACTTCATAACTTTCTACCTGATACATTAGACAAGTCTTTCAATTTCCTTGATGTAGAGTCAGTATGCATACATTGCTCAACACTTCGAGCAGTTTCCTACAAAATATAGAACATGAATTTAGCACAGAGAAGTAAGAAAATGGAAATTTCAATTCATGATGAGTGAGCTTTTTTAAAATGTTCTGCTTTATCCCATGGATACAGCATCTATTGTATACTGATGTATTAGAAAAACATTGTCAATATCAATTTCTATTTCAAAAATTAAAAAAAAAAAAAAAAAAAGTTTCCATTTCCGAACATCCTCTTCAGGAATTTTTTGCCTGTTTTAATAGTTTACTAAGCACCTATATAATGTCTCATAGAATGGTAAAATATTGCTTACAATTTTATGTAAATCTTTTTTATGATTGATATTTCTGCTAGTTCCATTTCTAGTAGTTTAAAAATATTTATATATCGCCTTTAAAATAATATGATTCATAGATGGCATAAGCAATGAACACAAATATTTTAAAGTGATTCACCAAAGAAATTTTTATGCTAGCAATGCTTATTGAAATAACTTATTTTCATTACAAATTATGTATGCATCTCTAAAGAATGAGATACAGTAAAAATTAAATAAAATGTTTTTAATTCATTCATTCAATGTTTTTCCGCCCTCAGATTATTTACTTTTGATTCATTTGTTGTGTTCTAATAATTCTTTTGAATAAGTGCTAGATACGAAAAGTTTCCATCAAAGAGAGTTTTACTGTACGATCATATCACAGTAAGTAATCTCAAAGGTAATGGTTGAGTGATGACTACTGCAGGATTTCCCAATAAAATGTGTCCTAAAAGTTTCAGGGATCATCAAACATGTAAACTGAACATTTGCAAAGTACGTGATATTTCACGATTGTCTTCAACATACAGAGTATAAAATGGCACATATATCTCCAATATATACTTGCAACCACTGGTTGGCAAATGTAATGCATCTGTAAGTTACAAAGTTGTTATATGATAAGGTACATTCTTAGTAGGTTACACAAATATTTGTATAGAAGGGACTATTGCAAGAGTAGTGTGACATAGCACATGGGCATGTCCAACTGCTAACAAATATTGTTAAGGAAAATTAAGTACTTTGTAAAATTAGCGAAAAAGCTAATAATATTAATGATGCATGTGACAGAAGTACCCAAGAGATAACATGGTTTCAACATAAAATGACAAGCACTTCATATGCGAGTAGTCTGCCTTATTGGACCATCATTAAATATCTTTATCAGCAATGGCCCAAAAATATAAGACTGAATAAAACACAGGAAACTGTCACAACTCTTGAGACAGGTGGTACAATCGAACAGATGGTGCAATGAATTCATCAGTCAGTAGGTCACAATCCTGGCACATAGCATGGGACTCATAATTCATAACATTTACAGAAGTGGGCTAAAAAAGCAGTTATTTTGATGAGTTCCACCACATTTTTATATTGCCAAATGATGCATGTGTATGCACCTTTATTAGTTGAATGACTGAATGTTTGAAACCTCTACGATACAAATTTGCCAACTTATGGCAATAAATACAGTGTATTGCATGTGTCATTTTATTATTCGTTGTGGGCAATTGAGAAATGCCACATTTTGAAGCTGTTGTTTTGGTTCCATGCTTGATTAGCCCTGAAAGTTCCATGTCGGTGGCTTTTCATTCCACCAAGCAGTTAAAGAATGCTGAATGCAGGTAGTTCATCTTAAGTTCAAGCCAAGGTGAATAGGCGGGCTGGATAGATGGTTTTGGGGTTTTTTTTTTTTTTTTTTTCATGTGTACCATAAATAAAAGCAAGTTTCTCATAGAAAGTCCTCCAGAAAGGCAGCACTTCCCTTAAGCAGATAGCCCTTGTTAGCTTTGTCATAGTCAAATAACAACTAGCCAACCAATCGCATTGCTTTAAAATGCAGTTGTTGAAAAGCTGTAGATCACTTACTGCCAAAGGATAAATAAAGGTTACAAAGGAAATTTTGATGAAAATTTCGAAACAGGGCTATGGCAATGTAATTTTCACCTTTCAATCAAAGTTGCAAATGTAGTCCCACTCCCAATCCAAACCCCAGTGAACTTTCAGGAAATTTTGACTAATTTCTATTTAATCTGAGCTACTTTAATCCATCACCAAGATTCGTACAGCTTTTAATGAAAGTTTTAATGAAAACTTAATTAACATTTAATAGGTAAATATTACTTAACTATATTAAATTATACTGCTATCCAATTAAGACTGAATTTTACTTTAAGGTTTACACACACCTTTTTTTTAATTAGGTAAATATTACTTAACTATATTAAATTATACTGCTATCCAATTAAGACTGAATTTTACTTTAAGATTTATCCATGCCTTTTTTAAAATTTTCATCAATCTTGTTTTCACTTTTTTTTTTTCTTTTTTTTTACATATTTAACGAATTGAAAGTTTTTCTTTCTTACTCTAGATTTTTTTTAGGGAAAAAAATTTAGGAAAATTGCAAAATATGATGACGTTCACAAAAAAAAAATAACTTACAATAAAATTCAGAATAATAAATTATGATTAACTAAATCATTATTTCATTAATATACTAAATATCAAAGTCATATTACACAAAGTTTAATAACTAAATGATACACCATAAAGCAACAATTAATCTGAAGTTCTTTCAAAATAATGCAGAAGCCCAGCATGAATTCGTTCAGTTTTTCTCATTTCAGGATTTACAGCTGTACTAATACAAACTATATTCCAAATCTGCTCTGTTAAACCAAAAGTAATATTCAGTGTAATGGCAATTTTGATAAATATTATCAGCTTTTATTGAATATCATTCAGCTTTACATTGAATATTAGTAACTTAACAATATTCCAACATAATCTTTTCATTAAACTTAAATGTAAATAACTACAAATGCAGCACCCCTCCTGTTGATATACCTTTGAATAAGTAAGCAAAGTGGTTCAGTTGGATCATTAATTCCACGCTGTTAAATCTGTGATAATTTTACCTATTATATAACAACTGCATACCAATTTTTCTGATGAATGTATTAAGATTTTGTTTTCAATTTAAACTATATTACCATCTTACTATCTAATTAAATATATAATTTCAAATAAATTTTCACTTTCAAAAATATTCCATTCTACACAGACTTGAATTGAAGGATAATCTTAGTTAAATTTTTAGGATATATAAAGCAGTTTTAAAAACAATTATTTTGCAAGCTTTATAATTTCAGTTAATGCAACTTTATTATGTATCAAGAACTTTGTCTGGTATTAAGGTAATTTTCACAGTGGTCTGAGTATTAAGCATTCATTTCTCCCTCTAATTCAGTAATGCACACTTCTCAAAGATAATTATTATAATTTATGAAAACCTGACCCACTACATTCAGTTGCATTTGGCAAACTCTGACCAATATTAACACTTTCCACAAACAATAAATTGTGTGGCTAATAAATAAATGCAACATGGGTTCCTCCAAATTAATTTCCTACTGCTATTTTTACTACTTATCTCTACTTTTTATTATTATGTTTACTGAGATCTGAACCTGGGTTCAGCCATTTTACCTCCCAGCTGCTGGTTGCTGCAGTAATAAAATAAAGTAAATGCTAAACAACCACATTTCAGAAGACAAATATTCAAACAAAGATTTCAAATCCTCAGAGATGTTTAGCGATTTAGAAAACCTCAGAGATCCATTAATTTGGAACATGTCTTAACTAACAGAACATGACTGAGCACATACAGAAAATGTTACAAATGAAGGCCTACTGCAAATGGAAAGCAGATGTTTACAGCATGTTACCACTGTATCCTGGTGTAATCCAAAGTTCACAAAAATGATTAATACATTAAGCATAAACTGTAAAATTTAAAAAATAATTATATTTACTATAATATGTAGCTTACACATTTAATAATAAAAAGATACAACAGATTAAAATAAAGGTCAAATAGATAGATAAAACTATTTTTCGAACTTATGACTCGGTTATAATTCACACTTTTCATCATGTTTGCCATTTACTATTACCTATTTCGGAAAATAAAACGGAAGGAACTTACATTGACAATTGAACACAGAACCTCTCCCATCAAAAAAAGTTTTGGGTCAGCTTAACGGTTCAACATAAGAGTAAACTACATTTTCATGTATGAAGGCAAAACATGAGGAAAAAAAAAAGAACTCCTACCAGTTAAGTAATTTTTAGGACAATTAAAGGCTGTAAATAAATTTCCATGACAGAAATTATGGACTGGATTTAAATGGATAAGATTAATCAAATAAGGCAAATGACATGAAAGCTACATATCTAACAACTAAGGTGTCCTGTCCTAGCCTTGAACTTTCAAATTCTTCAGAAAACATATAAATATATATAAATTTGCTCATCTAGAAGAGAACAGTGAAAAATTAAGCAGCTAATATTCCTTAGACAGGAAGAGAAATATTTGAAAAAAAAAAATAAATAACATTTTTTTAAATACTATGCTTGGTGACTTTTAAAATGCAATTTTGAAAATTTGGCAAATCATCAAGTTGATTGATTCACACACCAGAAATATAAATAATAAATGAAAAGTTAAAAATAAAATATATATATATAATATATATATATATACAGTCAAAAGTCTTTAATCCGGGTGTCCATAATCTGGAATGATCTATAATCCGGACCTCAAAGCTACAAACTTTCTGCGCATGCGTCAACGTATAATGCGTGAACGCATGCACGTTTAATGTATAACAGACGGTATAAGCTAAGCTAAAGTTATCTAATTATATATTTCAGTTAATGTTGCAGATTGCGTTGTTCCTTAATCTTCGAATTGGATTCCTACTAAATGTAGTATTTCATCTCGATGCACTCCGTCTTTGATATGATTTAAATCAAATTCCTCGTCATTATAAATATCACGAATGCACATCAAATAGTTTTCTGGTTGCAATTTTCTAATTTCGACTCTGCGTAATGTATGTTTTACGCATGCGCACGTTGAAAGAAATGTTTAATAAAGTAAATAAATAAATATTAAGCTATTAAGCTTTTTTTTTTTTTTTTTTTTTTTTTTGTAAATTTTGATACCCTTTAGATCATAATTGCTCTTTATTTCATAAATTACGGTTTCATATTTTTAATTTTATAATTTCTGCATGCCATCTTACCAGATTTAAATTGATGATCTATAATCCGGAATCGCCGAAGTCCCGATGAGTCCGGACTAAAGACTTTTGACTGTAGTAACATGGATGTCAATACACAGTAACTTCAATGCTTATAGAGAACTTTTAAACAATGAAAATTAAGGGAGTGTATACACAATTAATGTAGGCTGTCTTATTCTAGAAACACCTTACACTAAAGTCATTTTAGCATGATACAAATGGTACAGACTTTCGTGACAATAAAGATCTTGACTACAGATTGAAAGTATAGCACAGATGTTGGGCAGTTAAAAATGATCAAAGCAGTAATCTGTTTTACACCAGTTAACGCATTACACTGAAATACAAATTGTGCAACTGTTAATAATTGCCAGTGATTTATTAAACAATGTGAACAAATAAAGTAAAGAACTGAAAATCTACAGCAATGATCTCTGAATTTTGACCTATGCAGTCATCTTGACTACAAGTTAAAATAAAGTTATTTGCAGCATGTAAAAATAGAAATATTTATAAAAAGTGCCTTATTGATAATATATAAGGCACTATATATAATATATAAGGCAATTTAATTACAGTATAAAGAATTAGATTATAATTCATTAAAAAAAATCCTGCAACATTTGCAAGCCAAAAATTTTTGTGAGTATTTTTTTTGACCCAAAGTATTAACAAATGAATGTTTTAAGTACTGAAAATTCTGAAAGAAGGTTTGCTTTTGGTGACTAAAAACATTTAACTAATTTTCAGTTCTCTATTTTAATTTTCATTTGTTGGAGTTTAGCAGTTAATTTAATTCAATAACTTTTATTTTGCGTGCAAAGAATCAGCTGACCTTTTCACGAAATAGTTTAAAACTGAAGTAGGTGAAGACTGCAGTTTTGCTGAAAAACTGAGGAAGGCTTTTAAAAATATAAAAATTACTATAAAGCATTAATTAATAAATTATAAGCACATTATAAGCCTAAGAATATATTATAAGCATTAAGTAATTAATTAAAGAATTTAATTGAAATTATTATAAAGCAATAGACTAAAAATTCTTTAAATGTACATATGCATATTTACTCTGCAGAGAAACTGCATGTGTGCAACATGTTATAAGACATTTACAAACAAAAGTAATTTGAACAGAGACAAGCATAGCCACACTACAAAGAAACTGCATGTGACATATAAGTATGTTATTTATAAAAACTGCAAAAGCTTTTGTGTATTTAAAAATACATAATGTTAAAAAATTAACCACTAAATCGATATGAATAGGATATTACAAATATCCCAATCTAACTATATTTAGCAATGCAGCACTGCTTCGGAGACTTTTATGATATATTAAAATTCTGCAAAATTTTTTCAAGAAGTTTGCCATTGATATTCAAAATAGCTAATTTTTTTACTATTATGAATTTCCAGATGAGTAGATTCACATATATATGGGAAAAAAAAAAAAAAAAAAAAAACTGAGAATTCAAGCTTGGAAGACTTTCTTTGTAAGCTCCACTCCTATTTTGCCCCAAAAGAGAGTTTTACTAAAGGTTGTAATAAAGTTAAGAAAACTAAAATGCTTCCATACTAAACAAAACCAAGTGTGAATACATTCATATGACTCAACAGAGAAACACCATAAAATGTTTATGTAACTAGTAAGGTAAAGTTAAAACAAATGGTTAATTTTGCTGACTAATTTGAAATATCTCAGAAAAAATTCTAGGAAACCACACACAATCAGAAAAATTCTAGGAAACACAGAATTCATCTTATAACACATACTCACTCACCATAGTATAAACCTAATTCAGAACTTATTTGGTGATAAATTCAGTCACTCACATTCTGCTATTAATGTCTTACTAAACCATTGCTTAATACCAACAAATAACTAGTTTAGCAACTAATAGTACTAATGGGGAACGTAAAATATAACATTCTGCAAGAATAGTACCTTCTGGGGAAAAATACTTTTAAGATGGATAATTCCCCCTTCCTTTCCCTTAAACATATATACCAAGAATAAAATCATAAGAACCTATTGCCAATTACAGAATTACGTGAGTGAATATTTTTCTCATCCTTAGAAACCCTTATACACACCCCAAAAGTGAATTGGATGAGCAAAACTGTGCTTCAAGTTCCCATGATCATTGATACTTCAGTTTACGCAATGACATTTATAATACTTAAAAAAGCATCTTACATAACTACATTTCTCAACATTTTAGCATAGGATAAAATTAAAACCAGACTGTCTAATCCAAATGTTTGGTACAAATTATAGCTTATAAGCACAAAGAATGAATAAGCTACCCATTTTACCTTGAAAGTACTATCATAATCAATATCTGAGATGTTTCCTCCATGAGCTTGTCTCAGAGCTTGTAAAACAGATACAGTGTCAATTTCTTTTTCAGTAGCTTTAAGACTATCCAACTGGAGCTAAAAAATGCACACACAAAAAAAAAAAAAAAAAAAGTATTTAATATTGCACAAATTACAATACAAAATATCAGACCATCTGCAATTTTTATACATAATTTACACTAGCATAATTTTCTTAGCATAAGCACCTATCATACTAACAGAAAATCAGAGAACTATATTAAAAACAAAGGTTAGTGTACAGAGTGATTCACTTTTCTTATGTTTCAAGTATAAAAATGAAAAATCATTCTGGGAATTAAATAGCTTTTTCATACTTACACAATTCTACCAAGTTATATAAATTGTCATTATTAACCAATGACGTACATATATGAAATTCATCTTCAAAAGTTACAATGACTGCTTTAAAAATGATAAAAGAAAAAAAGAAATTTCGCATCAAATTTGAGAAATCGGTAATGTGCAAAATGTCAAGTCTGATAAGCTGTTTTTATCTATGGATCTATCTTGATGGACACTTAACAAAAAATTTCGTAATAATTTTTCAAATCTAGTCTTGCACTGATTAGTAGCAGATATAACGTTCATTCAAATGAAAGTGGCACTGCTGTAATAACTTTGCCATTTGAAGAGAAAAATGACTGTGTATGCCCGTTTAAAGGGTGCAGATTGCTGGGAGTGTATGCATTATCTTCAATCCCTGCCAGATGTGTGTGTGTGTGATAGCGTCAGTGCATGTTAAAAGGCATCGTTCGCATCATGAATGCCTCCAAATGGTATCAACATGTGGTCATGCAATTTTTAACAGTGGAAAATGTGAGTTCTTCTGAAATCTATTGCTGAATACAAAATATGTATGGCATGGAGCGCATGAAACACACATCAGTATTCTGATGGTGTAAGGATTTCATAAGTGAAAGAAGCAATACTGACAACAGACCATGGACCTGGTCAAATGCATGTAATCACCCAGAAAGCAGTTGCAGATGTGGACCATCTTAACCCACGAGCACACGCACCGATCCGACGAACACGAGAACATGTGCCGGGTATGTCATACCCGAATAAAAAGTTTGTAATTAAAAATTTGCTGAATAAAATTAATCGGTTTTTAAAAGAAATTAAAATGTAAAACCAAGTTAATACTTCATTTTAGACAAGATATGAAAGAATAAGGAGAGGTAAAAATTATTTACCTACAATTTTTTGTATATTGTTTACGAAATGAGGTCATAAGTTCCATACATATACTTTTGCTACAATTTTCACAAATGAATCTAGTCTTTGTCTATCTTTTCTTGGGGCACTCTGTACATCTCTTGTAAGTCATTTTAGGTTTTTTTGGGTGGTCCATTGTCAATATGTTCATCGGTGATCAGTGTTTGTCCTAGAATCAGGAACTAAAGATGCTAGTCGTCGTTCATTATGAACATTTTCTATTAGCTGCATCCCTAAGGCTTTGAGAAAAATATGCCTGGCACGGTATTCTGTTGGTGGTTCCTTCTTTGATAGTAGAATTATTCTTGCATAATGGCAGCCACGTTTAACACTGAAAAGAAAAAATTACCATAGGCCATCAACGTGCTACTCTTGCTGTAGAATACGCAGCTGCCATCTCATCTACAACATCGACTTCACTCCTTTTGTCATGTTATAGAATGTAATGATTTCCGGGCTTTTTAGATTCCCCAGTAGATTCATCGATTTGATCGCCGGAATGCATTGTGGATAACAGGATCACACTCTTATGTTGTTTTTTCAGGCACATAAGATACAAGTGTTGCTTCTTTCTGAAAACCGAAAATTGAAGAATATACTCTATTTTCTTTGCCAGAAACTCAGGTGGCATTTCTCTCTTATTTTTACACATTGTACTACACTATCGTAATAATTTTCTTCTTAGGAGATCTTGAGATAATTCATATGCCCATATACCAATTATCAACTGTTAAATTTCGACCAGAACTTGTATAAGAAGGCCTTATTAAACATTTGACAACTTTGCTTACACCATTTTCAACTTGAAATGGCCCATCTGGTTGTTTACCAGCATAAATTTCCATACTCCAGGTATAAAATACCATTGCGTCTACAAGAGCAAATATTTTTATGCCATACATTTGTGACAAAATTTCCAAAAAATTCTCTGATCGGAGCTAATTTATCAACGTTTCTTCTAATGGGACGATCTCTAATGTCATCAAAACGGAGGCATCGTAAAGGAAAGAGGAATCGGTTCACTGACACTGTTTCCTGAAATATGTCCATTTCCGTTCCGTCTGTTGCCCACAAATCTCTTACGTTCACATGGGATGATTTATAAACTCCACATAAATACAGCAATCCAATTAAAGCTTTGATTTCCAACTAATTTGTTGTTTCGCATCCCGAGTTTCACGAGTGAAATTTCCACGTACTGAATCAATAAAAATATTTGTATTGTCAACTACATGTTTTAACATATCTTCATTGATAAGCAGTGACCAGAAATCTAAAGGTGTTGAGACGTCTTTAGAATACTTCATATTTCCAGGGAGTTTAGTTATAATATTTTTGGCGCCAATTATAACATTAGTCCGGAATTTATTTTTGTTCCATTTTACTCCATTTTTTCCAACATAAAACTCATTGCTACATTCCAAAGTTTCATTTTCTGTTTCTGTATCTGAATCACTACTCTCTATGGATGAATCATGATTACTATTATATTCTTCGTAATCAACATCTTCACTAAATGAATCCTCATCAGAAGAAACGGTTTCAAGAAGATTTCTCAATCTTTTCATCTCTTCATCGTAAGGAATATACGGCGCCATGCTTACAACTCAAGAAAAACCTATAGTAAAAGCTTGAAAACAAGAAGTGCGAATTGACTCACTGAGAAATGCGAGTACACGCGCGGGTATGACATGCCCGAACAATGGTGTTCCTAAAAAACCGTTGCACCTGTCACCTCAGGAATTTCCCCCATTTAAGTATGTGACCTTGAACTCAGCTACAACAAGTTTCGTCCGTTTCTGAAAGAATGGGTGAGAAATATACAAAAAGAAAAATGCACATGGGTATGACATACCCGTTGCGTGTGCTCGCGGGTTAAGAAAATGAATCAGCGAATCACCACTCAAGGTATAACGAAGGAAATGCCTGTGAGCATAAGAAGCATGCACACAATACTGTGAGAAAGGTTGCAATACCGCAAGGTTTATGCGCAATGGGTGCCAAAACATTTGAGAGAGCAGCAGAAGATTCATTGCTTGTCTGTTTCCATGAAACACTTTACGTAGTACCACGAAATGGGGAACCAATTCCTTTCAAGGATCATTGCCATTGATGAAACATGGTGATATCACTTTGATGCAGCCACCAAAAACATGAGCATAGAATAGCAACACTCTTCATCCCTACGGCTCACACATCTACTCGAGAACTGGCAAAGTCATGTTAATGTGCTTCTTTGACATTGATGACCTGTTGGAATGGCTACCTACGGGCATGTGTCACTGCTGCCATATATACTGTGCCACATTGCAGAAACTGAGACAAAATATCATGAACCACTGACATGGCATGCTGTTACAGGAATTATTCACTTGCATGATAATGCTCATCCTCATGTGGCTGCGGAGTGCAAAACATTGTTCCAGCAATTCTGCTGCGAGGTTCTTGAACATCCCCCTTACAGAGCAGACCTCTCGCTGTGTGACTACCACATCTTCGGTTCCACTAAAGAAATCTCTGAAGGGACAGCAATTTGCCGACAATAATGAGGTTCAAGCTGCCATTGAAAATTGGTTCCACAACCAACTCCGGAACTTCTGCAAACACGGTATCCATTGTCTTGTTAACTGCTGGGACACTTGTTTCAACATGCAAGGTGACTTTGTCTAGCCTATCCGTTATATTTGTATTACTTCTTTTTTTATACTAATTTATATTAATATCATTAAACCATTTCTTAAACCAATTGTAGTGCCCCTTTCATTTGAATGACCTTATTAAAATACACGTAGCAAAATCATCAAATATTCCATCTATTTTTCTTTTGCACATTCATATTAAATAATTTTTCACTCTTAGCTTAAGTAGCTTAAGAAAATCATTCTATTCAAATTTTGATGCTAATCCTGGAAATTTATGCAATCTACGCTGGTTCTTAATGCACCTTCAAGACTTGTACTTGATCACATGATTTTAGTAAATACCATGGTAGTTTTTGCTGCTTAGACTTTATTTCATTGATACAGTTAAAAAAAAAATAAAATCACAACTGCTCCTTTTTATGGGGAAAAAAAAAACAGTTGTGAATTGTATTAAGTATATATGATTGGCTCAGACTATTTAGCATACAAGGTTTATCTAAGTTCCATCTGAATTTTGACTATTAAGACAAAATGGAATTGAAAAACCCTTCTATTACTGACCTTTTGAGAAAGTATACAGGAATCAACAAATCTAAATACATATGAACCTAAAAATTTCATAAAACAAGAGTTTATTGGAAAAAAATGGTTAAAAATGATCGAGTATTTTTTGGGGGGGGACAGAAAATGAATATATAGGTAAAGTGTAAGTTATTTTTTGCAATTTCAATTGTGCGGAGGTGACTAGGGAGTGGGGGTGGGTAAAAATTATAAAAAAATATTATACAAACAATAATTAAAAATATAATTGAATTATATTTCTTTATAATTGATAATTACTAATTTGATACCAATTTCTCGCTACAGCCAAAATCTTGCCATCATTATCTTCAGATTCACTTCCATCACTCAAGAGATCATCACCTTCATCACTGAACCTTTCTGATAAATTGCCATATTCAAAACTGTCAGAGTCACTCATTATCAGATAATTTTTTCTAAACAAGTTACAAAAACACTTAGTAAAAATTAATTTATGGTTAACTGTTTACTTTTATGATAATTAATGCAATAAAAATGGATATATTACCTTTTCCACAACCACAACTGCTTTATAACAAAGAATTCCTAACAAACTTATAGCTGTGCCATCTATGGTAAAATAAGTTTAATTATAATCTTGCCTATCTATTTTTACTACAATGGATCTCAGACAGGCATTAGAAATAAAATAATGCGAGATGCAAGATCACTCGTGTAAGACATGGGCATGTGCAAATTTGCAGATAACTTTCTCCAGTGTCAGACACGGGAAAGTGTGTTAAGGGGTTATATAATTCAATAAAATAATAGAATTATTATTCCATCAACCATGCAACTGTCACCAAGCAGCACAATTTAGCCCTAATTATGGAAAAGAATGATGAAACAACACACTCATAATATACATGATGTCATTTGATGCTAACTGCAAATGACTCCAGCCACCTTTCATTTCCATGAACAAAGGACATAAATTTAACTGCTAATGCCATATTTGTCTTGAATTTTGAAATAAAATTTTGGACATGCCTTCTACAGAAAACAGAAGACTGTTTTCAAAGTTAGGGGAGCCCACCATAAAAAAAAAAGTGCATTAATGGACATGATATGATCAGTTGAAAATTACAAACAAAACAGTAACAGAATGGAACAGTTATCTGCTGTAGGTTTGCACTCAGAGCATCCTAAACAAAGTTTCTGGTACAATCAAAGGGCTTACAAAATAGAAGAAATCAACAAAAGACTTTTTACAAAGCACAGCAGCAGTTCCTTCAGAATTCTGCGGGAACAATTTTCACAAATCTGGCAGGATTTCCGCTAACTTTCACGATTCAATGGTAGCTAACTTTCCTCATCGATGGTATACTATGCAAATACCACAGAATATAATAAACATATATGAATCATTATTTCCTGTAAAATATTTGTATTACTTCTGTAAATATACACTTAGAAATATTTTAAACAATACAAAAATACCTTAATCACAGTATTTTACCCTTCTTTCTCTTCTTTAGACTTTTTTAGATCAGTATAAGCAATAGGTTTGAATATTTTATATAACTACTGCACAGGGAAAAAACAGTTTAAAAATAATATGTTTCCTTAAGACATTGATAATAGTACATTAAATAAAACTTTTAAAATGGTTACATTAATTATTCCAGTAGGACATTGATAGTAGTACATTAAATAAAAATTTTAAAATGGTTACATTAACTATTCCAGTGTTATTTATACTGTATATAAAAAAATTAATATAAACATGATTTTCAGTTATATGCTAATGCAAATATAACTCACTTCAGGAGCAAGTGGTCCTAGCATCAACAGCACTTGAGGGCGATAATCGACATATGTAGTGATAGGATTACCTTCAAGATTCAATACTTCAAGGCAAGGCAGTTTACTCAAACATGATACCTCTTTAAAAGAAGCAATTTCATTTCCATCTAAGTACAGTTCAGACACTGAAAATAACTTTGATAAACCTGAAAGGGAAAAAAGTAGATTAACTACAAAAATACACATACATATATATACATAAATGAAAGTTTTTTTTATAATAATATCAAAAGATATTTAAACACAAAACAAATGAGTAAAATTTTAATTTTTAGAGAAACTGAAAATGTTCAATCATATGATACATATATTAACAGAAATGTAGACACCATGTACAAGGAGTGATCAAATGAAAAGGTACGAAACGACACGGTGGGTACAAATGCAGACTTTATTCAAAATATACACCATAGGCCTGAGCATAACAATCCCTTGTTCCCAGAATTCCTGTGGCCGTGATGGGATCCCCAGTCCTTCACAGAGTTCTTGAGTACGTCGTCTGAGTTGAAACGCTTCCCTTTCAGGTGCTTCAGTGGCCCAAACATATGGGAATCGCAAGGCGACATGTCCGGACTGTAGGGCGGATGGTCCAACGTCTCCCACTTGAACTTGGCCATTTCCATATGTGTGACTCTGAAGACGTGTGGATGCGCGTTATCATGGAGCAGAACCACACCTCCGTGAGCAGCCCTGGTCTTTTCTTCTTGATGGACCTGCGTAGGCGTCGGAGTGTCTCACAGTATACATTGGAGTTCATGGTTTTTCTGTGCTCGAGGAATTCCACACGTAGCGGACCTTGAACGTCGAAAAAGACGGTGAGCAACACCTTGCCTGCTGACGACACGGCTTTGAACTTTTTAGGGGGAGGTGACGACGCATGCTTCCACTGCATGCTGTCCTGCTTTGTCTCTGGCTCGTAGTGATAGCACCAGGTCTCATTACCTGTGACGATCCACTCCATGAAAGCGGGGTCTTCCTGATACCGAAACAGATGTTGCAGTGCTAGCCCCACACGCAGTTCCTTTTGCTGGTCAGTGAGCTGCTTCGGAACCCAAGCTGCACACACCTTCCGATATCGCAACCTGTCTTGAACAATTGTCCACACGATTCCATAGCTGACATCCACCTTCATTCGCAATGTGACGCGCTGATCACTTCTCACTAGGTCATCCACCTTGTCGATGAGATCGCTCGTGATGACAGTGTTTGCCTTGCCTGGTCTCGGATCATCACCCACACTCTCACGGCCTGCACGAAAACGGGCACTCCGTTTCCTGACAGACTTGTCAGAGACACATTTCTCCCCGTAAACTGTCAAAATCCAGCGATGAATAGCTGCCGGTTTCTCACCTTCCGCTGTCAGAAATTGGATAACACCTCGCTGCTCCTCAGTCATCGAATTTTGCAACGCGAATGCCATTCTGTCCTCATACGGACTGCCGCATCATTTGGACGCTGCTTTTGATAAGAGCCTCTGCTCTTTCTGGCGTATGTGGGCGCTCGCGCATGCTTCGATCCCAGTCAGAGACTCCAATTGCATCCCGAGATGTCTCGCTACGTTCTCCAATGGGGGAATATGCAAATATTTAACTGTTACATTTTTAAGTCGTTTCGTACCTTTTCATTTGATCCCCCCTTGTATTACTTGAGGGGAAAAGCACAGGATATAAAAATGTATATGCAAGATATAACAAAATACGATGGCTGCTTTAAAAATAACTGGCGACCACAAAATTAACTATTCTAGATTTGGTGCTCTCCCATTAAATTCATCTGTTCTCCCAAATTCGAGATCCTTCCATGTTGCATAACAACATAAAATTAACCAGTCACAGATTAGCTGTACTTATGTATCAGACTTAGTATACTCTTGGCACAATAACTATTACAATAACAATAATCATTCTTCCTTTCCCTAATTTGCTCTGTTAACACCGTGTTCCTTTACCTCACTTAAATGCTTATGTCTTAGTTTTAAAAAACCAGTGTCTATAAAAATTATCATACTTCATTACGATTGGATAAATGTCTACTAAGATGGTTTTATATGCATGAAAATAAAGACTGGGACTTCCACAAAATTCATTTTATTCAGAGTCATCTTTTCATCTTTCTACTTGGCCATCTAAGACTGCAAACTACTAAGTATCTGATTCGTCCTATGCATTAAATTATCACACACACACACTCACACACATATATATACAAAGGGAGAATAGAGGGCATCAAAAGCTGTGTCTGTGGTATCCCTACTGTAGAAGAGTAACCACAAAAGGACAAAAATGGGGAAGAGTGACACAAGCATTGGTGCAGGGGCAAATAAAAAGCTAATGCTAAAGGTTCAATGTAGTAGAAAATGATATTTTTGCATATTGTTGCTGTTTAATAAATAAAGTGGAAAAGACAAAAAGTTGTAAGGAACAGCTTACTGAGAAAAATTAATACTGATGCAATGAATTAAAGAAGAGAAATAAATTTAAAAAAAAAAAAAAACCTTAACAGTAGCATCATATTTGAAAACTTAATTTTCACAGGCAATCTAAAAATCTCCCTTTTCTAATTACTATCATTATCCTTTTAGTTTATGAGTCAAGTTTCTTATTTGTCCAATGATTTAAAGTTGGATTGAAAGTTATGTTCAAAAGGTAGTAACAATGCTAATTACTTCTAAGCCCTACAATTAGAAGCATACAACTCATGCTTCTGGGAAGAAAGGAATGCTGTGAAGATTTTTCCTTTTCTGTTAAAACGGAGACTGATGCATATCCTGCTTCTATCCTACATACTAAACATTGATTAACTTTCTTCACCTATGCCCAGAAACATCTGCTACATCAATAAAAGCAAAATACAAGCTAATTTTCTTTGAATATTTCTGCAAGTGATAAAGAATTATAAATAAGAATAAAGTAGCTTTTGCAAGAACTATATTTCTACCTAATACATAAGGTTAATTTTTATCCCTTTGGCTTAGCATATCGCAAGGGTCTGCCTTATTTTCTAAAGTGGACAGTGAAGGTTTGGAAATCGAATAAATATATATGCCAGCCAACAAATATGAAATCAAAATAAACATTCAAGCAATAAATTACATATGGATTTAGTGGTGGAAAAAACTACTCAACTCTAATTTTTGAAACTAATTCAAGTTTTTCTTGATTATAGATAATTATAAGTGTAGATACAAAGGATTATTATATTTTGGAGCCTTTCTTTGTCACTCGAAGATACTAGCATACAATACATGACATTTTTCTAAATATTCTCCAAAATATTCAAGGAAATAAATATGTTAGTTTCATAATTTTAACAGGCTTCAAAAACTGAAAATAACCATTAATTAGTCACACATAAATTAAGAATTTTAAACAAAATGATAGTCTCATAATGGATTTGAATTTTTGTTTTATTTGTATAAATCAAAAAATGAATGCTTTTGAAAAAAATTAAAGTATAGTACCCTGCAAATTATTTATCTTGTTTGATGAAAGATATAGAGCTGAGATATTTCCAAGTTGAGTGTGAAGAGAATCCAAGTAGTGAATGTTGTTGTGCGAAAGAATTAAAGTAGAAAGTTCAGATAAGGTCTCTAAATTTTCAATGACTTCGATTTCATTGTAGCTGAGATCAATTTGTTTTACAGATGATAGCAGCTTCTAAAAGAAAATGCATAAAAAGGTTAATGCTTTCAAAACACATATTTATATATTTCAGAACAACACTGGAAAGTTAAGAAACAAATGACTTACATAGCAATTTTTTTTCTTCTTAAGAATTCTGTGAAAATTCTAACACCCCGTCTATGATTATTTGCATATATCCTCTACGACACTATACAACACATATTTTACTTCACTTTAACAACAGTATTACAATGAAATTTTAACAGAGTACTAAATTATGAAAAAGATTTGCGATATTTATGCCTTATGTTTCGACCTACCTAGACCATTTAAAAATTAATTGAGAATGGTTGTTTAGTTTCATAATCATTATTATTCTTTTTTTCTAAAGCCCATGTAATATCATATTATGAATGGCATTGTGGAGTATGAATCATTACATAATACAGATACAAAATGACACAGTATAATTATAAACAAATGCTACACAGAAATGAATTTTATTACAAAATTGTCTAAATGCCTACAATGTAAAAATGAAGTTAAAAAAAAATAATACATATAAATGCTTTTGAATCAGTTTACTGAGTATAAGAAATAATTTTCCATAGTTAAAATATCTACAATTTCTTACTTCTAGTCTAAGATAAGATGCATTTCAAGATAAAATTTTAATAACTAAAACTCTGTACATAACTATACATTTCCATTTAATGGAGAGTTGAATTAATTAATATTAAATATTCTATTAGTATTCTTTAAATGTAATCTCATTTGAAATGACTGTTAAAAGTAACATTTATGAGTATTTAATATAACAAAAACTAAATTTTTATTTTGTATTAATTTATATGCAATTTTATTTTCAATACTGACCTTTTAAAATGCAAAACTGTAAGAGTTTTCAAATCGAGGCTGGACAAATAAGAGGGCGACTATATTGTAGGATACGTAGCAGCAAATGGGGGGAAAAGTATTTGCTATAAAGATAATGGCTACTAACCAAACTCAATTATTTAAACCTAAAAAAATAAGATTGTATGAAAAAAGATTAAGATTTCTTAAACCATGTATTTTCTAACTTTTTACAGTTTAAAAAATAATAAATGGATATTTTCACTTTAGTTCTAGTAAAAAATAATCTTGACAAATTAAATAAGTTGTAAAAATATCAATCCATTATTTTCTGGGATAAAATGGTCACAAGTTAGGAAAATAGTTTCAAGGAAAATCCCTCTATTCAGCTCTATTTACTGTAAACTTTCATAATTTCTATACTTCTGTGCATTTAGATGAAACTTTTTTACACAGTATATAATTTATGCAGGGCCAGGTGTTTCAGGCTTTCACTTTCAAGGGGGACTTCTATAATATTTAAAACAAATAAAACAATAAATATACTTTTGTTATTTTAGGGTTTAAAAATATAAAACTACAAGCAAGGTCAAAATTTCAACTTTCATAATTTTAGCTTTTTACGCCTTTTTCAAATATCAGACACTAGACAAATGTCCTCTCATTGGTGGCTGATACTGTTTAGCAAAAACTCTATTTTAAACTAATACTAACTTGCACAGCCAATCTCTGCTACTATTACCACTATATTTGAGGTTCGTGATATCACATGAGGGTCACAAGTGTCTTCGTATACTTGATTATTAAACTGATACACAATTGCATTCTTTTGATTCATTTTTGCAATTTTATTAAGATTTATAATAAGAAAGAATTACTTATAAGGTTCTCTTCTTACCAGTTTTTTCCAGGAGGTAACTAACTTAAAATAGATAACTTCATATTTTACACAACATGCAATAAACTGACATCATGTAAATAAAAGATACAGAAAATGAAATGCATTTTTACTTTCACATGAATGCATTTATTACACACTGAGAAGAATTAGGGTTGGTGAAGGCCATCAAGTGATTTTGTGCCAGATCTCCAGTTTTATAAATTTGACCTTCCTTCATCAAGTATCATACAAACACGAAGCAATAAACTCTTTTTTTTTTTTTTAACCTGATAAATAAAAATACTTTTTAAAGGAAATAAAATATATCAACACTTATTCCACTAAGCATTGTTTTTAAATCCCAGCAATTTTAAAATTCAGTACATTCTTGAAAGCAAGAAGAAAATCTCTTAAAATTTGCACTGCACTGATTAAATCAGCATATCTGATAAGTCATATTATAACCTAGGATATATATTTTTCATATTCTGTATCTGATCTCAGTACTTTATTTATCTGAGAAAAAGGTTACAGACAGCTTCTAGGCATTTTTCTGTTTATCCTACAGTCACAATCAAGATTATTGTATAGCTGCAATTAAGGAATCAAGTTACAAGCAAGATTATCCTATACTTATAATCAAGTAAGGAATGGGAAAAAAAAAAAAAAAAAAAAAGATGCCATTATGCAATAAACAATTCTGATTTCAAAAGTTAAAATCTCAATCTCATTTTAAGTTTTATATAGCCCAAACTTTACATCTTAAGCAATTTTCTGGCATCCAGAACTCTTAATTACATTTTGAAAGGTTAAAGCATACATGAATCTATTAGTTTTATTCCTTTAATCTATTAGTTAATTTAACTACATCTTCTCAAATGTCTTTGATAGTTTGCAGATTGCATTTATGTCATATAAAAGGCATTTATATCATAGCTATTTTCATTTTTTATCAATAGATGGCACCATTACCTTGATTTCATCTAATTTTTTATTGCCTTATCTTATCACTGGCTTCTCTTTCATTATTTGCCCTTTTGCTGCATATTTCCTGGGAACAAGAAAACAATTTCTTAAATATTTATTTATTTAGGATTAAACTGTATTTGCTTAACACTTCGAAGCATGATGACTGTACCTTGAAACCACCAATTTTCGAATTTTTGCCCTCGTCTTTCCAAAATGTTTGAGTGAACAACCAATCGATTACTTATCTTTTACCTCTAAATAACACAAAATAACTGCAGAACCATACATTTTTTAGGCCTTAGTACTTCAAATCGGATGTCCTTTAAAATTCGTTTTCAATGAGACAAAATAACCTCTTTTTACACTGCTGGCCATTAAAATTGCAACACCAGGAAGGAATGATCTGAGGAATGTCAAAATCACATGAAAGGAAGAAGTTGGGATATGCAAATGATTAGTATTTCAGCGCATTTAGACGACGCAGGAGGGAGACGCGACATCTGAAGCACTGCATAAAAGAAAAGTTGTGTGGTGGATTTCTCATTCAGAAAGTGCTTTGTAAGGTTGGAGTTTGCTCAGAATATCCTATTATGCCTCAAATAAGAAGAGAAAATGCTTACCAGCAAGTTTCAAAATTTGATAGCGGCAGGATCATTGCCTATCGAAAGTGCTGATTATCATTCCGTAATATGGCTGGTTGCACTGATCGAAATCTAACCTATCGGCTATTTGTATAAATTTCACAAATAGAAAAATATTAGATTAAAAATTGCTTACCATTTTAATTATCAGAACTTTATACACAATATAAACATTAACAAATATATGTTATAATACTTAAATTCTGGATTCACTTTTAATTTTGTTCTGTGTTTCGTTTTCAAACAGAATAAAGAAAAGATGGAAGAAAATTTTTGATCAACAAATTAACATTTTGTCCTTTTAATCCTAAATTTAATTGCTTTAACTTTCCAAAAATATCAGCTAAATATGCTAAATGTGCCAACCATAATTCACTAAATAAACATTTTTGCAATTCAAATTTTGAACCACAGACAAAAATCTGAATTTCTGATCGAAGTTCAAAAAGACGATTTAAAACTTTGGCTTTGGATAAACTATGGAATAAAACAAAAGTGTTTCATGTTCACTGCCCATCTCTGGGCATAAAATCGTAAATATTCTTCAATTTAAAGCTTGGCTTTTAATACAATTAACAATTTTCACAGCTTGATTTAAAACGATGTTCAGGTTTTTGGGGATCGTTTTGGCTACTAAAGCTTCATGATGAATGGAACAGTAAGATAATTCAGTTTCAGGTGTGACTTTCTTTACTTGAGTAATAGAACCAGAATATTTTCCCGTTAAAGCCGAGCTCCGTCACTGAATACGGAAATGCACTTATTCCAAGGAAATGCATTCTGACATAAAATTGTCAATTACTTTGAAAATTTCATTTGCACTATGAAAAAATGAGATTCACAAAATAAATACTATTTGGCAATTCATTTATCTTCTTTGAAATGTAGGTAAAATAATAATTGAACAAAGTTCATTATATCAGTACTTTCATCCAATTACAATGTGAAATACTCACTGTGTTTTATTTTTTGAATAAATGTTTCTTTTATGGAATTTGCCATTTCATAAATTCATTGACTTACTGCATCATTTGATAACAGAGCATTATAAAGTTCATTAGCCAGTTTATCATTGAATAATGTTAAAATGACATCTTTAGGCTGCTGGTACTATAAGTGTTCTCCAACAGTGTGAGCCTGCCCAGTGTTACAAATTCTTAGGCTTACTAGGTTTACTATTTTTGAACTCCAATGATTTCCTTTTAAAATATTCTTCAGATTTATCCTTTAAATTTGCGAGCTTAGATTTAAGAGGTCTTTTGAAAAACGATGGTTTCATATGTTGGTTCGATAACAGTTCACCGCAAACAACACACTGAGGTTGAGGGCCCATTTCATCTTCATTCCAAGTAAAGCCAAATGATAAACAACTTTCATAATATTTTCTATACACAATTTTTCTTTTCTTTTCAGTATTCTTAGTGGTAGTAGATTGTGCTGGATCCATCACTAGTGAATCGTCACTTTCCCACTTAGGCAATCCTAGCTATTTTTCCATTTAGAAAATCTAGGTTTGTTTTACAACTTTTTCACAAACATTTAAATGCACAATATATTAACGAGTTCTTCAAAAAACTAACGGGAATATTCTCAAATCGCATAGAAAAGTAAGTAATACAAAGCAACAAAAAGACAAAATACCTTCTGTTAGCGACAGCAAGAAATTTAATTCTAATTGAAAACAGCTG